CTCTTGACCTGCATCATTTGTTTCTGTCACCTGAATGATTAAAAGCGGTTAAAGGCTGCCAGGTTAAGAAAGACGTTTGGAAAAAAATTGAGAAAGTGTTTCGTTTAAAATGGAACACATTCTAACTTCCTGCAAACTCTCCCCCCTGGGTGGCTATTGAAAGATCTAGTGTTACAAATAGCTCTCTCTCGGCACTTCTTTTCTCGACGCCAACATCTCCAACAAATAATGGAATAAATAATATGTTTGTTTTAAATTGTTTGAAAATATGGAAACAAATTAAGATATACTGCAACCTACCAGAGACCTCAGTTCATGCCCCAATGTACCGTAACCATGCTTTTCCCCCATCGCTGTCGGATGTATCATTTAAAAATTGGAGACTAAAAGGCCTAATTACACTGAAAAATTTGTACATTAACAAAAAGTTCGCCTCATTTGCAATGCTGAAGAGCTGTTTTTCTCTTCCGGATGCGGATTTTTTTAGATACCTGCAAATTAGAAATTATGTTCGAACTAACATCCCGAATTTTGTATCTCTCCCGGAAGAAAATAAGATCTGTAAAATACTGTTGGGCTCCCCAGAATCAAAAAAAATAATTTCAAGCTTTGTTGACATCTTTGCAGAGCAAATCAATTTTACTACAGACTCCTTAAGGGCTGCATGGGAGGAGGAGCTGGGATTGCAGATTGGGAGTGAGGTCTGGGAGAAGGGTCTTGGGAGGATCCGGTCATGTTCTATCAACGTACGACATCAGCTAATTCAGTTCAAGGTGTTTCATAGACTCCACTACTCTAAAATGAAATTGCACAGAATATTCCCCTCAATATCTCCAAAATGTGATAGATGTAGGTCCGCTGATGGCTCCCTGGCACATCTGTTCTGGTCATGTCCCAGGCTCCTGCAATATTGATGTGATATTTTTAATTTGTTTTCTGAAGTGTATGGATGCTCGTTGGTTCCAGATGCCCAGATTGCATTGTTTGGATATTCTCCCTCACTCAAGAACTGCGGCATCTCTATGCAAACGACTGTGATGTATGGAATGGTAACGGCTAAGAAAGTAATATTAGGATTGTGGAAAACCGACAAGATTCCTCAGTTTAAAGTGTGGTTAAGTGATTTTACTGGGATCCTCCATTTGGAGAAATTACGGTATGATGCTTTAGGCTCCACTAATAAGTTCTGCCGCATTTGGCAGCCGTTCCTGGACCATCTTTCTTGATCTCAGAGTGACCCCCAACTCGCTCAGTCCCTCAATATGCCACCTGTGCCTCTATAGACTGGTTGTAACACCCGGAAGTGTAAATGGTAATCAGTGAACTGTCTCCAGTTATCTAGATAATTGTCTCGACTTGTTCGTATCTTAATTTATTTTACTTTTGGTTATTGTATGTTTTTATTTGTACTGTTTTGTTGGTAAGATATCTCTCTCACATAGTAATCTGTTAAATGTGTGTGTGCTTCATACTCTTGTGCATGGTTTCTGTATGTTGTATTTTGAAAACTCAATAAACATATATATATATATATATATATATATATATATATATATATATATATAAAAATCGAACACATTCTAAAACTTGCATAACTCGCACCATTTCAATGAACTTTTGGTAAATGTGCCCACATAAACGAGAGCAGGAGAGCCCCACATCAGTGTTTATGAGAGAGAAGGGAACAAAGCATCAGAGAATGCACTTAAAAAAAAACTGAAATGTTTTGAATGTCACCAATTTTGATTGAAAGAACGCTTCAGCCCCAGCAATGCAGAGCAGCAAGAATAGCTCCTCTGACATACTGTCTCAGCTTTTCACATGTAAGAAGTTTCTTACAGTCTCTCCTCTCTTCCCACCCTCTTCCTTCCTGATTTCTTTTCTTTTTACATCAGGGCAAAGCGGGACCCAGGGGATGGAAAGGAAAGGTTTGTCGAATTAGACTTTGCGGTATTAGATATAATCCATTCTGTCTTATTCTGTGCCACAGTGAGAAGCCCTGTCAAGCCTGCCTGGCTGCTATAGAAGACTTATTGAGCCGATACTCTATGCTTGGGGAAATCTGGCCCCCGGGTAAAAAAAAAAAAAAAAAAAGAAGACATTTACATCACAGGAATCATCCTTTTATGTGCACATCTAAAATGTCAAACACTTTAATGTCTGCAGAAACATATAGAAATGCAGAGTCACAAAGTTGCTGCCTTTTAAAGGAAGTTAAAAAAGTATTGCTTGACTTAACTCACTTTTTTGATCTTATGTGAAAAACCAGCAAAGTTACATAGCTAAGCCTATGTAACTCACGCTACCATACTTTGTTGAATTGCATATTTACTGTAAAACAGTGTTAAAAGTCTACATGCTCTGGTTATTTCCAGTATACGGAGTCTTTTGGGTTACCTCGCAATAAGCTTTGTGTTCTCTCACAATGATGTACTGATCAGTTCATGTGGCATAATTGAATAGTGTACGCTGCTATTATAAAATGTATTTGTAAGGTTTTTCCATGTGTGTTCATATCTCATTGTGAAATATCTGAAGTTTTATATTTTTTCTATAGGTTAGAAATGCACCACAAACCTATGATAGAAACAGAAACTTCCCATAAGTAGGAAAGAAAGAAAAAAATGCATCCAAACTGTTTAGACTATTTCTGAGTTATAAAGTTATGTATAAATCAAAGTCCATTAAACAACGGTAAACGCAGCATAGAAAAAACTGAATGGACTTTTGCATCAGTCTGGGACTGAATATTTGTAATAATGGGAATTTTTAAATTTTACCATACAAATACAATAAAATACCTGCAATCAATGTTCCCTCTAATTGTTCATATGTCTGGGCGTACACACAAGCTTCCTGGGCACACTGCGGACCACTGTGAGCATCATCAGTGTACACAGCGTGGCCACGCACAAGTATCATAAATCTGGGATCATAGAAAGTTGCATTGCTTATTAAAAAAATCAAATTACATCAGCAATTTCCATTCGTTTGCTTTTAATTTAAGTGATTTGCTCAATTAAAATAATAAAAAAAGAAAACATTGCTGTTCATGAGATGCATGCTATAAGTAAGAGTCCTGCTTCAGCCAGGGTGAGAAATGAGACATTACACCTTTCAGACATAAATGTTTGTTCATATTAAAACATTCACATTTTGCACAATGAAATGTTTTCTGTAGCTTGTGATGCAGTATAAATTCTTGTAAAATATTTAATTACAGTTTTTTCACGTCTGCCCTTCTCACGTCTTCTCACTTCTCCAGTGGTTGTACACTTAGCCCAGGTTGATGGTCAGTCTGCTTCTTGCTATATCTACTTGAATTCAGCATATTGACTGTTAATGGCCTCATAATCTGTGGGTGGAGGAGAATGGCCTCATACTTCTTTGCCAGTGTACAAATGTCTGCTTATCTATAGTCAAAAGTCTGAACTCAACATTTCAATATCAAATGCAGACCATTCCTTTCATTTGATTTGATTCCATTTGATCTTAGAAGAAGTGCATTTCTTTTTTTTTTTTTTTTTTTTTTTTACTTTGGCTTGGTGAGTGGATGTCCCACGTAGACATAATAAGGTGATGGCTTTCACGTTTTTTAACTCTACCGCACTATTCTCACCTGCACGGCGCATATGACCAAGGCACGTAACCCACGTAGCCCAGGTTGATGGCTGATTGGCTACACAGCCAATAAGCACAATGCTGATTGGCTGCGTAGCGAAAGTGAACCGTTATCGTATCATTGGCTGGATTCCTGTCACTCACTGAGTTCGATCGCAAAGTAGTACGAAAAAAAAAAAAAATTTATTGGTCCATAGTCAAAACTGATGTCTGAGCTCAATGTCCACTTTACGTTGGACTTTATTTTATGCGCTACATAGACTTTCTTGTGCGCTGCGAATATGTGAGCAGTGCGCGATTGCGCAGGCGCGCAGCTTAGAGGGAACATTGTCTGCAATCACAGCTCCTGGTATTTTACAATATATTCAAGATGTTTATTTTATCTTTTTTACAGTGTGCTAATAATGTTCATTGTTAGTCTTCAAAACTAGACTGTGGGTAATTAAAAACCTCTACAGTGTAATGATTCCAAATAACTAGAACATGTTGCCAGATAAAAATAAAATATTTATTTATTTATTTAATTATCAAATGTCAGCTTGTGAAAACCAGAAACTCTTTATTTAAGCAAAATGTCCGCCGGGGAACCCGGCAGCGCTCTCTTAGCTTTGTCATTATTTGGCGACGGCGTTGACTCTCACCCTGAAGTGCAGCTTGAGCACACAGTATAAGCCATGAGTGGCTGTTGTTGTGCATTATTGAACATGCGCTGTGATTGGTGCAGGCACTAAATAACCTGCTGGCTGGCAGGCCATTAAAAATGGATATAGAAATTATCTGCTGAGCCATTTATCATTGAGTTGTGAGTTGGACGTGGCCGACGGGCCTCGAGCTGGACTTGGCTGCTGTGACGTGTTCTTCTGTTTCAGTGGAAAAAGGAAGAAACAAAAAAAAAAACTCTGAAATATGGAAATGGGGATGGTTCTCACTGCCTTACTATATAAAAATATGACAAATGTGATTTTTTATTTTTTATTTTGAAGATAACTATATATATATATATATATATATAAAATTATATATAAAATTATATATATATATATATATATATATATATATATATATATATATATATATATATATATATATATATATATTATTTTTTTATTATTATTATTCTTTTTCTATGTAGGAGTGAAAGGGGAGTCCACATGATGGACGGGACATAGGAGGCTTAATGGCCGAAGTTGCGTTTCTCGGCCATGATGGGTTACCCAGAAAGCGTTAGCTGAAACTCATCCTTGTATACATGCTCCCATAGATGTTAGAATAAGCAAGACAAATGGGCTGACTACAGTCACTTATCTAGTGGCAGCGCTGGGTGACTTATGTTCCAGAGTGAAGCCGATGCGGCTGTCAGTGTGTGTGTGGGGGGTTACATGAAGATGGAGGAGGCCTACGGAGAAGTTCCTGTAAACGGCAGGACTCAGAGGATTGCGGTATTCCCAGTCCCAGCGAGGATACGGCTGAATCCGGGTGTAATCATGCTCTTCGGAGCAAAACCTCCTCATACGAGCGTCGTCTCCAGCTTTGTGTCATTCTGCATTCGGTTTTGTTTTGGTTCCTTACCACACGTAGCTTGAAGGGAAAGCAGGTGTAGCATGGCTACACATTTAGCACCCTCAATCAATTTCCACTGATAAAATCTAAGGAGCTATTTAAGTGATGAATGCCTGTGTAACGGAGAGAAAGGCATAAAGTGCTCTACACAAAAGGGATGAATAGCTTCTGACACCATTACTCGGCTGTAATTGATGGACATCTTACAGAAAGTTGAAATAATCATCAAAATACAATATAACTAGTTAATAGCTTTTATAAGAACAGCTTGATTGCTGTAATGTAAATAAAAAGTTTATGGAAGGTCATAAATTATTCTCAGCATGACTCTTTCTTATAAAATGAATGAAAACAAATTAATGCAGTTTTTCCAAAATTGACACTCTTTTGTATTTTTAATACGGTTTGAGAAATGCTTGTCTCATCCTAACACAAACGATCCTCTTGGTCTGTATGGTTTTCAACCACGTTCAGTGAGGGAAATGAATCATTTCTGATTTAACTACACCGCCTACCAAGGAAGTGTTGCCTGATCAGCTGTAAAGAGAATTCTAAAACTATCCAGAATGCTGTGAATCACAATGTGTCATCATAGACAAGCGTTCAGACTACAGTTCAAAAACTAGAGTCAAAGCTACACAAAGTAGTTTGTCGTACCACATAAAATAGATTGTTAAACAATAAAACAAGGGCGAGAGAGTCGGTAGAGCAAACTCATCTGAAGGAGAGTTTTATGATTTATTGCTACTTAAAAACAAACAGCAGCTGATTAGCTGATAATTCAGAGCTACAGACTGGTAGGCTGGAAACACTGACTCCAAATAACTTAGCAGCCAAAAATTATTTATAAAGTGGACCCATTAATTAATTTCACTCATTCCGTATTAACAGATGCAGACCGCCCCTCTTTTTCCACACTCAATATGTGTAAGCTGCAGCACAACCAACCAAATTAAGAGGATGTAGAAATTGTAAAAAACGTGCTGGGGTAGTGTGAGACGAAATAACTGCTCAAATATGCTTCCGCAAATAATTTATTTTGGCTACATAGGTTATAAACTTTCAAATAAAAAACGATGTGCAAGTTGCAAAACGTGCAAGTCTGTTTCCTGAATGGTCTGGTCAGGAGTCTCCTGACATCTTCATCAGTGTGCAAATGGCGAGAGCAGAAGAAGCTACCTCAAAGCAGCTACTTTAGATCCAGCATTTTCTCTGTTATGAGTGGAACACCAGATGTTGGGCAGTCAGAACATGGAGACAAGGATGACACAAAAAGCTAAAGGTAAAGACTGTATTTAGTGCACTGTTTCTGTATTTTTATTTACTTATTGTCTAAGTAAATTCTAATAAGGGCTTTTTGGTGCTGTTAATTTGATATTTTCTCAGTTCTGATCCTAGAAAATGCTGCAGATCCTGCAAAGTCAGAGCAACATGTGACGTCTGGTGAGAAAAATCAAAAGGACTGCGAAGATGGAGGACTGTTTGCTGCTTACCTTAAGAGGCAGAAGAAGAATGTCCAGACTAGTCCAGTACCTCAGCTGAGTCACTACCTCACAGAATGCCCTCTTGTTCTGGGCAATGAACATGCAGACTCTTCCTTCACTGTTTAATGTTTAACCGCCAGAGTTTTGGCAGTGCCTTGTTGCAGTGCTCCAGTGGAGCGCATTTTCAGTTATGGTGGCATCATTTTACGTCCTCATTGTGCACAAATTAAAGACAAACTTTTGGCCTGTTTGGTCTTTTGCAAATGCAATGCAGAGTAGTTAACTGAATATTCTCAATTGCAGATTCCTGCTAATGATTCAGTTGATATGTTTGTTTTGTCTTGCGTCACTCACACATGGACACAAACAAACAGATGTTCACTCAGTGACAAGGTAAGAGAAGAGGGGAAAAAATGCGGTTATGGTTCTTTGTGTTGTACTGTGAAAATGTCAGCATTTTTGTCTTTTTCATTGCATGTTAAGTTTAACTGAACTTTGCAATTTTAAAATGTTTTTTTATACTTTGTGTTCAGCTGCACATGTTCCATCAACATGTGCAGATTTGAGATTAATTCAGATTTTAAAAAGAACATATGGTATTTTATTTAGATTTTATATATAATTGCAAATTGTTTAAAAGAAGAAAAATAATATTTGAAATGACTTGAAATTAAATGTTCCTGACTTTTACCTTTCTCGACTTGAGACTTTTGAAACACTGATTTGGTCCCACCTCTTGTGAGAAACCTTTAAAAATACTTACAACTGTCTATATGAATAGAGCAAATGCCACATAAACATTAATATAAACAGTAGAAGCCACAGTAGTGTTACCACAAAAACACATATTTACAGTCTTCCTTTTTTTTCTGTGCAGCCAAACATCAGCAAGGAAAACACCTGGCACTATTTGATTTGATTGGCTGAATTGCAAATGATGGCCAGTCATGTGTCAGGTAAGATTGTTCCATAGCTTCCCATGCTAATTTTCTTTCAAATACATTAGATAACAACCCCAAAGAAATTCGCAAATAGGTAAATCAGCTGGTCTAATGGACGGAATGTTATCTGCATTTTATTTTACCATTATGATATATGACACTTGTACTGCCATGTTAGGGGTCCTTAGACATCTAAAACTTGTTTCTATAGATTTCCTAATATTACATTTCTATCAAGAATAACAGACCTTGACTACACCATGTGAAACAACTGAAGTTTACAGATATCTATGTTTTGTGGTTTAGGGCTTTTTTTTTAAACTCAGATTTGTACAACTCTGGTTGAGTAAACTGGTGAACAAAAAATCTTGTGTGTTATCTTTCTTTCCACACATATTTAGTTTCAGTTTTTCTAGTTAGAATTTTGATTTGACTTAAATTTGATGACTTATCTAAATCCAGTGGGTGTTTTGTTCTGATCTGTACTCATCTCTCACCGCTTTGACAATTAGTTAAATGTCAAGGTTTGAAAAACAGCCTATAGTTTTCATTGAATCATAATAAATAAATCTTTTACACCACATTAGTCTAGCTGATGTTTTCTCATATATTAGCTACTCTGCTGCAATTTAATATTTGTATTTTTTTTTAATAAAAGAAAATTTGGGGTTCAGTTTTTATTTTAGTTATAGGAAGATCCTATCAGGTGAAAGAGTAGCAGAAATAGGCAGTTGTAACAGGAAAGCAGAAAAACAGAGAGAGAGAGAGAGAACAAAAAATAGTTTATTAAAATGAATTTCTCCAATGTGTCAGAGTTAGCAGACATCTAGTCAAATTCATAGAATTCAATGTAACAAGAAAAAGAAAAAAAATCTGTCAAATGCTGCAAAGAGAAAACAGGAAGCATGGCAGAAAGAACCATTTGCAACTGATGTCACCATGATGTCAACGCAAACACTATTAATATGTCCCACCAGAAAACTAAACCAAACAAATTGCTCCATCAGTCTTTTGGTGCTTATATTGTATAACATATGGAGTTGGTGTTGTATACTTTTAAAGCACAGAATGTTCTTCATTTGATTAGCAGTCCAAATAAAATGTGCTGTACAAAGAGGATAATTGTGAAGGCCGAGAGGCTCAATTTTTCTGTATACAAAATAACCTGCAGGATTGTGGACAGAAAATTTGAGCCTCTCGGCCTTCACAACTTGGCGCTGCGAGAAGGGTCTGCGGGATTGTGAACAGTGTTTTATTAGACATTTTTTTTTAAAAAAAAAGGGAAAAGATGATGATGCCCATTTATCCTGGTACCCCATGGATTCCTAAATTTGAAGGGCAAAATGATGATGTTAAATATAACGAATGGAAGGAGCAAATACAAGGTCTTTTAGATGCAAATGATTTGCCTGAATCGCATAAGGTAAAAATTTTGATTGGTGCCTTGTCTGGGTTGCCCAGACGCCAAATTAATGTGCTCTGTGATGATGAACGTGATAGGGTGACAAAAATATTTTCAGTTTTGGATGACTTGTATACAAAGAAGGTTCCTGTGTCTGCTTTACGGTCACAATTTTTTGGTTGTGTGCAGAAACCAGGTGAGTCCGTTCAGGCATACGGACTCCGGTTGAGAGAGCTGTACCGTAAACTACAGAAACACAATGCAACTGAAGCACCCACTGATATTCACCTTAGGGACCAATTCCTGCTTGGCCTGGAGGATGGCGCCATGCTTCAGCTGCTAAAGCGAGTTGTGCGCCTAGACCCTGATGCGACCTTCAGCGCTGTTCAACAAGAGGCTCTTCTATTAGAAGAGGAACAAAGTCCAAGATGGCCTGAAGCGACATGTGCCGCGGTAAGGGACCCTAACACTGTTCGATCTCAACAGAGTGATGTGTGGAAACAGGAGCTGAAAAAGGAACTTATGGAGGAAGTAAAGGCCCAGATGAAGGACCTGGCCTGTGAACTGATCAAGGACCAGAGGACAAAGGGTCCCATGCCAACATCAGCGTACCCCAGGATTGTTCCCCCACGTCGCCGAGGGAAATGGCACCCGGACCGTGACACCAGTTACCAATGGGATGAGGATGGTAGGCCTATTTGTAGGGTGTGCAAAAAATCTGGACATATAGCCAGATTTTGCAGAGAATCCTCTGTAAATCAGCCAGCTTTAAACTAGCACACCCTACTGTAGCGGCCTATACAGTGGGGTCAGGTCAGCGAGACCAAAAGGCCACGACCGATTTAGTGGGGAACTGCCCCTATGTGGAGGTGTTTGTGGGAGGAGTCAGGTTGGAGGGACTTTTGGATACTGGCTCACAAGTGACACTTATGCAGCAGAGCCTGTTCCTCGAACATTTCCCTGACTGTGATGTTAGTAATGCACCTACCTACATCCAGCTTAAGGCGGCAAATGGCCTTAAGATCCCCTGTATAGGGTACGCCCTAATGGACTTTAAGATTGAGGGTGTTGATATTAACCAGAAGGGTGTTTTTGTAGTGACTGATGAATGTTCTACTAACCCCTTTGTCATTGGCATGAATGTAATTAGACCCTGTTGGGATGTAGTCTTCTGCAACCCGGGGAAGCCTTTGTCTTTTTGCTGCCAGAGCCCGAGGTTCCAACGGGCATGGCGGGAGGCTTTTTCTCTTTGCCGGAGGATAACTGTTGCCACAGAGGACGACTTCAAAGGATATGTCTGGCCAGCTCAGCGACGAGGGGTTAAGATCCCGGCAAGAAGCGAGGTGGTGATCTGGGGACGAGCTCGAGCAGGACCAGCTGGGAGAGACTATTGTGGCCTGGTGGAAGCCTTGGAGGAGCCCGACACTGTTTCAGTGGCCCGCACCCTCGCTGTCGTCAGAAATGGTAGGCTCCCTGTTCGGCTGAAAAATTTGAATAACTTTCCAGTTACTTTAGGGCGCTACCGGAAAATTGGCCGCCTCTATCAGGTTGATGACGTGGATGTCCATGGAGGTCGTGATGTCGGCCTCACTGTTGATGACGGCGGTGTGGTGCAGGTTGGACTGGTGGAAGCTGTGGATTCCTTAGAGGAGAGCCGAAGCTTTAGCCTACAGAGACTGGTGGAACAACCAGTTTTTAACGCCTGCTGAGGCCAGTAAGTTGGCCACCTTATTACAAAAATGGGAGAAAGTGTTTTCTAAACATGATGAGGACTTCGGTCGGACGGATGCCGTCAAGCACACCATTCCGACGGGAGATGCATGCCCCACAAGGGAGAGATTCAGACCACTGCCACCACTCATGTATAAAGAAATGAGGTCATTATTAGCGGACATGTTGGACAAAGGTGTGATAACTGAAAGTTCCAGCCCCTGGGCCGCACCTATTGTCATGGTCAAGAAAAAAGATGGGAGCTGGAGGTTCTGTGTCGATTACAGAAAACTGAACTCTGTTACTCATAAAGATGCCTTCCCTCTCCCTAGGATTGAAGAGACTCTGACCTCCCTCTCCAAGGCAGAGTGGTTTTCCACCTTAGATTTGGCCAGTGGATATTGGCAAGTCGAGGTTGATCCTAAGGATAGAGAAAAGACTGCCTTTACTACACCTTTGGGCCTTTTTGAATTTCAGCGCATGCCATTCGGCCTCTGCAATGCACCTGCAACATTTCAGAGATTGATGCAACAATGCTTAAGTGGTCAGATCGCTGAGTCTCTGCTTGTATACTTGGATGATATAATTGTATATTCACCTGATTTTGATACCCACCTACAGCACTTGGAAGAAGTCTTCATGTGTTGTGGAAGCATGGCCTGAAGTTGAGACCTGACAAGTGTAACCTGCTTCAGAAAGAGGTGAGATTCCTGGGTCATGTGGTCAATCAGAGGGGAGTTATGCCTGATCCAGAGAAGGTGACTGCAGTTACAGAGTGGAATGCCCCAAAGACTGTTAAGGAAGTACGGGCGTTTTTGGGCCTGGCAGGCTACTATAGACGTTTCATCCAGGGGTTCTCTAAGATCGCATACCCACTTAATTCTCTGTTAACAGGCATCCCTACTGACAAGAAGCATGGTGCAAAATTAATTGATTGGACATTAGAATGTCAAATTGCATTTGACAAACTGAAGGAGGCGTTAACTCAAGCACCAATATTGGCCTATGCAGACTACACCCAGCCCTTTAGGTTGTACACTGATGCCAGCAATTATGGATTGGGTGCAGTACTGGCACAAAATCAAGAAGGAGAAGAGCGAGTAATCGCTTATGCTAGTCGTAGTTTACACCCTACCGAGAGAAATGATGCAAACTATAGCTCATTTAAATTGGAGCTTTTGGCACTGAAATGGGCAATTACTGAAAAATTTAAGGACTATTTGACTGGTGCCAAGTTCACAGTATTTACGGACAATAACCCAGTTGCCCACCTTCAAACTGCCAAACTAGGGGCAGTGGAACAAAGATGGGTTGCTCAGCTGGCCTCATTTGATTTTGAGGTAAAGTACCGCGGGAAAAGAGAATGTTAACGCAGATGCATTGTCTAGATTCCCCAAAACTTCCATCAACAGTGGCTGTGCTGTGGCGACTTTAACAGAGGCGGATACAGAAGACGTGGCTTTACTGGAGTGGGGTGAAGATTGGCAGGCTCTACAGTCGGCAGACCCAGACATACATCAGGTACGAGTGTATGTGGAAGAAGGGAGAACCCCAAATACGACTGAGCAGGCAACTCTAAGTGAACCAGCAAAAAAGTTGTTAAAACACTGGAAAAGACTCTGTATACACAAAAGGATTCTCTGTAGACGTGTGTTTGACTCATATGTATGTGAGCCCCGTTTTCAGATTGTGTGCCCAGATCTTAAGCGTCAGGAGGTCTGGGAGAAATGTCATGAAGCTACAGCCCACGCAGGAGTGGAGAAGACCCTCGCTCACCTAAGGCGCCATTTCTTTTGGCCAAGCATGGAAAAGGGGGTACAGTGTTTCCAGAATGGGTGTGTTGTCTGTAGTTTACAAAAAGACCGTGTAGAACCTCGAGCACCTCTTAAGCCCATAGAAGTGTCCTACCCGTTAGAGGTAGTAGCTCTTGATTTCCTTTCCTTGCGTCGGCCGAGCGACACTTATCAAAGTATTCTAGTAATGACTGATATGTTCACTCGTTATTCATGGGCTGTTCCTACACGGGATCAAACTGCGCAAACTACTGTTCGTGCAATTTGGTCTCATGTTATCCAACAATTTGGTTGCCCAGTGCGTTTCCATTCGGATCAGGGACCAAATTTTGAATCGGAACTTATGAAAGAGCTATGCAGTTTGTATGGCATTTCTAAAAGTCGCACTACCCCCTATCATCCAGCAGGTAATGGGAGAGTAGAAAAAGGATGAACCAGACGTTATTAAATATGCTTCGCACACTTGAGGTTGAAAAACAGAGTAGGTGGCCAGAGCATTTGCCAGAGTTATTACATGCTTATAACAATGTTATCCATAGTGCTACAGGGTTTACGCCATCTTACCTTATGTTTGGGCGTCATCTGAGGCTCCCGGTCGACTTGAGTTTGGGGGTGTTAGACACACAACCCCGTAGAGATTTGCAAGGATGGGTCTTAGAACACCACCAGAAGTTATCTTATGCTTATGAGGTAGCTCGGAATAGGATGAGTAGTGCTGCAAATAACGAAAAACGGCGTTATGACAAAAAAGCCAAGGCCAGTGCGCTTCTCCCGGGGGAACGCGTGTGGGTCCGTGATAGGAACCGACAAGGACAAGGGAAACTACATAGTTGGTGGGATCCAGAGCCATATGTGGTTGTGGGGGTTGTTGGAGATACAGGGCTGGTTTTATCGGGTTAGGCCAGAGAAAGGTGGGAAGGAGCGAACTTTGCATAGAAATGCTTTGAAGATTTGTATTGCTCCTTCCATTGATGTGTTGAGAGAACAACCTTCTGTTGAGACACCTGAACTGCCGTTAATGCTCTATTACCCTGTGGTTAATGAAGAACCGGAACAAGGATTGCGCCGTTCAACACGCGCTACGAGAGGACAATGTCCTTCTCGTTATAGAGACTAAACATCGGCCGGGACGGGCCTCATTAAAGTGTGGGGGGGTGTGGCAAGGTGACCTTGTTTTTCCTTTTGAGTTAGATTTTGATATTGTTTTGGATTGTATATTTTGAAGTTATTTTCTTAGTTTATTTTGGATTAAATGTTTTGTTTTTTGCATGTTTTGATTGGTTGTTGGTCACGTGCCGCTGCGCCCCACGGCAGCAACACAGCTGATCCGCATCTTCATCAAGTTGTTTACAGATCAGGAGGAGTAAAAAGGCCATTGGACTGTGACGGCGTGAAGGAGCGGCAGACGGCTCGGACTGGCTTCAGGCGTTGGCTACAGGAGGGACCGGCCCTGAGGACTGCTAATCTGGTCGCGGCAGAGGAGCGGGCGGCCGGCTAAGGAAGTGGAACTGCTGGGCTGAGAACCGGAGATCAAGCTGGACGTACAGAAGCAGTAAGGACCGTGTTCCCCTGAACGGAGCCGTTGGGCTAGCGCTCACTGAGGTTCGTGCGGACTGGAGGATTGTTTGGACCAGGCTGGACGTGTGAGCAGCAGAGGACCGCGCCCCTTCTTTTTCCCCCGTTGTGGGCCAGTTAAGACTTTTTTTAAAGACTTGTATAATGATCTTTCTTCAGCAATGTCTCCTTTTTAACTAGTTGTTTTTTAAAATAAATTATTGTATCCCTTTTATCAGTTTGTTGCGCCTCTGTCCACAATCCTGCAGGTTATTTTGTATACAGAAAAATTGAGCCTCTCGGCCTTCACATAATCACAATGTTAATTCCTTAACTTGTTTACTTGATGGAGATAAAACACATGTAGAAGTATTTTCCCTTTATATCATATGCAACAGTGCAAGCAAAAACACCAAATCTACTGGAAGAGTCACCATGGACCAACATCTCTGTCACTAAGGTTAAATGTTTTCAGTCTGACTAGCTCTGCCTGTTTGTGGTTTTTTGCACCAGCATGCCACTGTCGTCTCTATCTATTCTACTTATGAGTAAACTTTCACTGTCAGAGTTTTGAAAATGTCTGATAAGCGATGGTGGTCTTTATCTGAAGCATCTTCACAGCCAAAATAGCATAGCATAGCGTCAGAGTGTCTAGTTGAAAGAGCTACAACTAAAGTTGTTTCAACTTCTCCAGTCTGTAACACGTTAAATACAATATATTTAACATCTAGACAGCTTAAAATAATTGTACAGGGTGCAGGGGTTAAGTACAACCCATACAAGGACGCTTTCGTCGTCGAGTACAAGTAGTGAAGAAGATTTGGCACGGCATTGTATTAAGTTACACATCAAACCCACTGTGGTGTTTAGTTTGTCATATACATTTACTTTAAATTAAAAGTATGACGAAACTTGATTTTATTCATTAAAATTCAGAAGTCTACCAATCATATTTCAGAAAGTTGAACGATTAAGGCATAATGGCTTGAAGTAAAAGTAAGCTTGTGAAATAAATTCAGGTGACATTTGATGTGGCTTCTTTTAGTCGGGCTTGCAGGTTCCTTTGCAACAGTGCGTGGGCCTGGACAGGCAGGAACCCACACTGATGGGGATCTGATGAGTCAAGAAACGACAAAAAGTGTGGCTCAAAAGTGATCCAGAAGTTTGAAGAGGCTATTTTTTTCTTTATATCTGATGTGAGCAGATGTGAACTAAATCCATATGAACTGGACAGGCAGGCTCAAATCAATAAAACCTCTGTTGCATCTACCTGAAGGCATTGAAACAAACCAGTAATAAGTTATTCTAAGAGCAGCTGATAGGATCAGTCCCAGTTCTGTGTAATAGTCCCTATTATATTTCATGCATTGTACTTTATTAGTTCCCTTGTTGTAAACCCATTTAAAATCTGTTGACTTTATTCATTTTAACTCCTTTTTAACTACCTTCAAAACACGAAAATAAAGTTTATCTTTCTTTATAAAAATATCTTTTAGGACGATTGAAACAACCATGCAGGACACAGACATTAGACATTTTGATGCTGGATCAACAGAAATAAACGGACTGCATTTACTTCCGGCCCTCCGTCTGCTTTGACGTGACATCGGTGCTATGTCATCTGAAACCCAGCTGTTGGAGAGAGGCCGACTCTTTAGGTCAACCCTAGAGTCTCTGTTCTTCTGCCCGTCACAACTCTGTCACATTGCCTCCTTCAAAGAGTCACTGATGGAGAACAGAGAAAAGACAACATGAGTAAAAAATTTTAAAAAAGTAATTGGACAAGGCAGCAGGGGAGAAGTGGAGAGGAAAATAAATCGAGAAAGAAAAAAAAAGGTGAAAGTTAATACTATTGAGAATGAAAAACAAATCTTAGTTTGGAAAGTCAACATTTTTGTTTTGTTTTTATAGCAATATTTACCCCATTAATACTTGATACTTTACTTAGTTCTGTTTTGGCAGGTTAAGTCTTCCATATTGCATCTGTGTATTAGTTTCAAGATGTTTCAAACTAGAAAGCAAACCAAACACTTCATCTCACCAGTCAGCTTATGAACAGTGAGTTTCTTTGAGATTACACTCTTGAGTTTTCTGAGCAGAAGATCTTTGCTTAGAGACCATTTTGGTTGTTAAGCTGGAGGCTGGGTGGAGTAGGATTTCCCCTCTGACCCCTGCCTTACCTCCCTCAGTTATTTTCTGCCACCTATTTTGTGTTTGTGGCAGCTGAAAGTGAGATAAATCCTGTTTTGAACCCGTGAGGCGAATAAAAAGATCAGTGCTTGATAATAAAATAATTTGATTTTAACCATTTTGTGATCAAACATTTCCTTTAGAGGTTAAAGGTCAAGGCTGTAAGACCATCTCTAAGCAGTTTGATGCTCCTGTGACTGAAATTCAGAAATTCAGAGTTGCAGAGTCAAGTGACTGTAGTCAGCGGCCACTCCAGGCGCACATCGCCTGACGCGTCAAGACATTTATTGAGTCTATTTGCTCAATAAATGTTTAAATCCAGTTCAACATCTAAACTTCCTCTGCCATGTTAACTGAAGAGAACCGTAAATACTTTCAGTTCTTGACATTTGTAGCAGAGAATAAGCCACTTTCTCTTGATGTGGATATGCATGTAAAGTTAGAAGTACAGCTATTGCTTTTGAGACAGTATGGTGGTGGCAGCACTGCAGACATCGAGTCAAATTCAGAGAATTCAATGTAACAAGAAAAAGAAAAAAATCTGTCAAATGCTGCAAAGAGAAAACAGGAAGCATGGCAGAAAGAACCGTTTATCTCGGTATTTCCACGATAAGCAGACTACATGCTGAGCTGCAATTAAGAACTGACGAGAAAGCCTTCTGGCTTCAATTCATTGACACAAACCAGAGGTATTTAGCAAGTGAGCATTCATGTCTTTGCTCCTGCATTAGTAACTGCAAATGTGCCTTTCAAACAATACTTAGTGTGCAAATCCTTCACTAGCTCAGTTCAGCCTGAACAGAATCTTCCTAATCTTGTTAATCTCCTTTTCCTCTAAAAGCCATAAACTTTCTAGGGGGAAATGTCATTGTCAGCTGTTAGAGTAAGAGACATTTAATACATTGTTTCTTACTGATTAACTTGATATTTAGTCATCTGATACAAGCAGTGCCATGACTGGGTCCAGCTGAAACTAATAGCTCACAAAGTGTATGGAAAACCAATTATTTTGAAGACGTGATTTGATAAAGAGCTTGAGTACG